CAGCTGGCCGTACATCGTTTATGCTCTGGCCATAGCCCAGTTTGATGGTTCCGTTCCGTTCCACCTGCACTTTCTGAGTCATCTGCAACACAGAGGCATGGTGAACATCATACACACTGGAACCACTTATAATGGACACTCCAAATAAAGAACACCTATCTATAAAAGACACATATCGATGTGGTGCGAATCTGTGACTAAAAGACACCTCTGTTTAAGGCCAACTTTCATTGTCCAAGCTGCGGTTTATATAAAGGTATATATATATTTCCAGAAATGCCAGATGACTATGCTTCATTTGGCAATCGCGAAAGTAGATTAACAACATTCTACTGACTACATTGTAGCTGTATAGAGCCTATATAAAAGCATAGCGGTGACTCACGTCTTCCATAATCTGTGATGCCAGGGAATCAAATGGCTGTGTCACATGTCTGTTGGCCCAGGCACTGGTCTCAAAGAACTGGACACCATGTTGGTCAGCCAACTGCACCCAAACACACACACACACAGTAACATGTGTCAACTACAAGGTGTATAGAAAGGCAAAGGCACAACAAACAAGTCAACTACACCTAGGACAGCTCTTTTTTTCCAAGGAAAAAAGCTGTGCAGGTGGGATTCAAACCCACCACACTGTGCAGTCCGTACACATATGTATACTAACACAGGAGTGTAGGAGCCATCAGGAGAATAGGTGACATGAGCAAAAATGTAGAAGCTTAGGTGCTTTTACACTTCAGGCAGCAACAAGTCTTGAAGGCTTTCTACACATTACACTGCAGAGCTGTACTGTACCTTCTTCCCTCTCTTCTCAGACACCTCTCTCTGGTTCTCCAGGTCTATCTTGTTCCCTACCAACACAATCCTCACATTGTCCACTGCATTCTGTAGGGTCAGACACGCATGTACTACATACAGACTGTAACATTGCAATGCTATTAATGTTGCCTGTAGCGTATAGCATTGTGTGTCCACATCATGAAAGGGGAGACGAGTAATCTACTGATTTTTACAAGGCACCACCCACAAGGGAATTCAAGCACTGTAGCAGTCAGTGACCTCACTGACAGCAGTTGTGTACATAATGTCACATCCATCTCAACGTAGTGACCACATCATGCCACATGGTGGTCATGGGATACTACTACTGGCTACCAGTAGATCACACATAGCCTGTAGTAGCTATACTAACCTCTTCTATATTTCTCAGCCACTTGGAGACATTGGTGAACGTTCTCTCTTTTGTCACGTCATACACCAACATTATCCCCTGATAAACGACACCATGACAACGAATGGTAGGAACATGAGACACAAAACAAAAAGCCAGAATTAGTACCACTTTAGCTTGCTCCATATGTGCATGAACTTTGAATGTTGTAATATGAGCTTTACAGCATTGGACTGGGCCTCAATAAACGAAAATATCAAATATTGAGCCAAGTTCATGCTCAACACAATGGCGGACTGACTCAGAGAGAACCGAAAATCGGACTAATCATTTAGTAGCTACACCTTATAGAGGTAGCTAGTATTATGTATATTATATACCTGTGCTCTTCTGTAGTACTGTGCTGTGAGTGTCTCAAACCTCTCCTGACCTGCTGTGTCCCTGTGTGTTCATGTATCACATGGTCTAATACCTTCATCATGTGTGAAGATGTATGATTATAATATGTACTGTGTATGTCATAATCCTCATAGAACTGCAGTATAGTGCTATGAATGATTCGAACAAAGAGCCACTCTGAATTACAGACAATGTATCGGAAGACGACTTGTGACCTCAAACATTGCATACAACTATGAAATTGCTTGCATTTCCTTCTAAAATGTAGTTACATCAGATGCAATAATAATAGTGCATGTTGTACAGTAGTGTATCTATGTAATCTCGGTGCTCGTAAAAATAGTCTGCTGCGTAAGTGAAGTACATTAAAAAGGCACTTAAAACTCCTGAAGACATAAGCATGTAGTTTGCTTGTTCATAAAACGGGGTGACACAGGGCAGTCTACAACGACCAAACTTACGTGCATCTACTCAACAGTGGTCATCTACTCAAGTAAACAGCGTGATTGGATCTTGCATAACTCCAGATAGAAAGACCACTGTTCATAGACACCTTACAAATCTCAGCTCTATAATACCGTGCAGTGTGAGACCACCCAAAACCTGCTAAATCTCTTGCCCTGTGTCTTACAATGCCACGCTGCCACGTCGAGAGGATAAGATCAACTTCTATCTTTGGAACGACGGGGCAATGCGACGTACATTATGAACCCAGCCTTAGAGCTAATAGAAAAGTATATACAGTACATACACACATACCAGATCTGCATTCTTAGTCTCTTCCCATCCACATTGAGTGTCTTTAACTTGAAGTCAATTCCTACAAATCAGATTTGTAGTAGCATAATAGGAAAAGCAAAGTTGTGGAATAGTTTCCCACCTCCATATTATAGTGTGTAAACATGACTGTATCATGTGTGGGCATGTGAATACTGACAGTACAGTACCACTGATCTACAATCCTGGCAGATGTAATAGCCAAGCCCTTTCCCCTATAAGGAGCATGACGCAAACTCTCGCGGACAGATAATGACTGTAAACACATCACTAGTCTCCAAGTGGTTGCCCTGACTTGGCCTGTCGCTAGAGGTCAGGTCATTGACTGGCAGTGAGATGGCAAGTCACACACACAAATCCATATTATTATTACATACTCATGGCAGTGGTAGCAAAAGGAAAACCAGTTTTGGCTTCAAAACTGGGGAAGAGAATTTTACGTAGAGCTGAGAAAGAGAGTAACTATTAGACTGGAAACCACACAGTATATGAGAGGCAAGGGGATGGAATCTGCACATGCTGTAAGGAGGTTATAACTGTGATAATTATAAAGAGTGAATCTGTGTGTTTTGCTCTCTGAGTGTAGATAAAACAAAGTGGGACTTCTGGGGCCAGCACAGATCATGCACAAATGAAAAGCACTAAAGTGCAAACCCTCGGCGAAGTAGCTCGCAGAGAGTCTGACACGGGCTAGCTAGAGTAGTAGATAGCACGCGAGAGTCGATACACGCCATTCGTTGTGACTTCTTGTGCCTTCAAGATAGACAGAGCAAGCGGACCAGGTCGAGCATCTGTGCTAAATATAAGCGCATGCGCTTTATCCGTTAGCGATAAAATGGCGACTACGGCATTAGCCATACAATGCTGGAAGCGCTCTAGCTCTGGAACGGAGCATTTTCAGAGAAAACCCCACATATTTTCTGACCTTCGTCGCCCGTTGGGTAGATGGTATCGTTTCTGGGATGAACAGACATTCGAGAGGTGAGATGTAGAGTAACGGACAGACAGACCCAACTACCGTAACCCTCGCTGCGCATGTGCGCCGAGGGTTAAAAACTCCCCATGACAGCTATTTGAGTGCAGGTGTTCTGTGTTGACACAGAGAGAGATGAGAGGCTTCCTTTTTCTAACTTTCTATTGGTGGGTGAAGTCCCTCACTAGTCCAAGAACCACGCCTTCCTCATCCTCTTCCAGTGTCGGTCAAGAGCTCTCACTATTCCCACTACAGTCACTGTGGCCATTGATATGGGATCACACTCCAAGACTCTCTTATATACACCACTGGACTAGTCAGTGACGGGCGAGTAATAGTATGAGGATCATTTACCACATCCTATGTATGTATGGCAGTTCTGTTATCTATTTTACCACATATAGGATGGACCACAGTGTAACTGGAAACATTTGGACAGACAAAGCATCTGATATTTCATCTACTAAAGCATGTCATGAGCAGCATATTACTATCGTATCTACTATATAGAGGATGCCATGGGCAGTATAATTATGCCCGTATCATTATTAATTATGCACACATACATGTACTATAGGAAGACAATAATTTGTATGCACGACTACTTCACATGTGCACAGTACGGCTCAATACAAGGGCCACTGTTGCATTTCACAAGGACTCTGTTTTCATTCAGTGACACTTGTTTTGGCCCTTCAGCGAGCCTAGACACACACACACACACACAATTACTGTACATACTTTCACCAGCACTCATTGTCACTATGTTTGTGCAGTGAAGAACCACAGTACTAGGTAGAATGTAGGGGTCAAAGAAAAAGAAGTGTGGGCATTTTTGAAAAGGTATGTGTTGCAATATGCATGTAGGAGGGGAGGAAGAAGGAAGGGAATACCATGGCACATCAAAAAGGAAATAGCCCTAAAGCAGGAGGAAGTAGTGGTTACACTGCCTCCTACCAATGGTTGTGATGTGGGATTTTCTGACTTGTCCATCAGTGAACTGGGAGATGAGACAGGTCTTGCCCACTCCACTGTCCCCACACAGCAGGACCTTCACCAGACAGTCATAGTTACGGTCCATCTCCTCCTGTATTATTATACCACTGTGTGAACACACATCAGCTGGCTAGTCTACTACTTCTATACACAAATAAACAATGACTCAAGACTTCTCTATCCACACCTGTACTGTCGTAAAAAAGTTAACCCTTCACTGTATGACAGAAAGGCAGTGTACTGACTTAGCCGGCAACAAAACGGAACGAATGCTCACCAGAAATGCGTGAGTCACAACACTAGCTCTCAACACACCGCCCACGACGAGAGGCTAGCAGGGGAGCAATGCACACCCGTACAACAAAGCAAGACTCGAAACAAGACGACATCGAGGGCCACACGCGGACGACACCCGCCACAGGGTGATTGCCTATTACACAATCATACACAGCTAACTCAGTAGAAGTTAAGTTGTTTTCGAGTTATTAATACAGCGACAGAGTCACTCACCTCCTCTCTGTGTCTCCTCTCTCACTGGTCGCTCAGCTCTCGCTCGCGTGAGTTTCTCGTCTGACACAAATCCAAACCGCGCTCTCCAGCGCGCGACATTTCTGCAGAGTCAGCAAATTGGTTTTGTGTGACGTCATAGTCACGCAAATAATTTGTGCTGAATCAGCAGGGTTTGAGTTGTCTTCCACCACCACCACTCACTGGCACGAGTGAGTAGCCTTGTCGTGTGGTAGTGCAGCAGATCACACATCCTACGAACACCGGTCAGGACGTGAGTGCGCATAATCCATTCCTGGGAAGGTGTTTTGCGCCGTAAACACTCCATGGGCTTGTTTTGTATGCATGGTGGGTGTGCTCGTCAGTGTCTGTGACACTTTGTCATACAAATTGTGCCGCAGGTAATGGCGGAGAGACGGCAGCCGTACGGCTACCGACCCATAGGCCACGCGCCCCGCGTGCTCAACGACAGTCTTCCTGAGAGGGAGAGGGAGAGGGCCCTCAACCACAGACAACACCAGAAGAGCATGAAATCCTACAAGGTCCGCTGCTGTATGTAGTGGGAGCCCTAGACTTCCGTCCTTTTGTCACTGCATTCGGCATGACTATGCACAAAAACTGCTGAATAGTTTATTGTATATATAGTACATGTGTCCCCACCAGAGCCGAGTGAGTGGGTGAGCACTTTTACCCTCCCAGAGCCCATTGTGTTATTTGTGTTTTCTAGTCAGACTTCTAAGTGACAGCATGTTGAGGCTTTTGGGCTTCTTTGTTCCTCTTTGTGCTGTGTGTGATTGAGGAGAGGCTGTTGTGTCCATGTGTGCAGGTGTTAATGATAGGGGAGTCTGGAGTGGGCAAGTCTACACTGGTGGGGAGACTCTGCGAGGACAGGTTCATGCCTGAACATCGCCAGTACACACTCGGTAAGTCACTTCTCTCTTGTGAAAGACTTCTTCTAAGTAGTGTTCGTTGGCTCCAATAATAAAGCCCTATCTTTCTTTTCCATAACCCTATCCTTGATATAGGCACATTAGAGGAACCTTGTTTAGTAGCAACTTGTTTGCTGCACCAATTTTAGTTTAGTCATGTTTGAGATTGCCACACCTTGTCGGTGATAAAGTAATACAGTATGTATATTCCGCTAGTTTTCTACAAACACACATAACTACACGACAGACATTGTTTATCATGCTCAGAATAGCTCAAGGCAAGGAACTTGCTTATTATACTGACATAGTAAAAGGTAAAATCAGCCTAAGATAATGTGTGTAGTTAGTACACAGCAATTCTCCATACGTGGATGTACTTTTTTCCCATCAATACATGACCTATGAGAGGGTGACTATATTATAGTCTCTCCCCACGTTTTATGTTTAGGGCTAAAAGCATCCTCCTGTGTGTGTTACTGAATGTGAGGTTCCCACAAAAGTGCCTAGTGGGTCGTGTGTTCTGTTAGTCCAAACATCTGGGATAAAATTTCCTGTTTAGGGGATTCATTCCCTGGCATAAACCTGTCTGAGTTTGGATAGTGTCTTTGCGTTGCAGCTGGATGCGGCAAAGTTATAATGCATCATTGGCAAGCTTTTGAATTGCATGCACATTAAAAGTGTGATAGTGTCAGATTTTGGTCAGTGTAGGTGGGCTAGCTTGCTCACCTATTATTCGAAGTATGGCATGCAACTCTATACATGTCTTTGTCAAAAATGGCTCAGCTATTATTCTCTGGTTGGCCCCACTGTGCGACAGTGAGCTTGTTTATGTACACATGGAGCTCCTAATGTACTGTATGTCCATTAGGTGTATTATGATGACATTGCATTGCAGGGTTTGATATGTTTGAGAAAGAGGTGGAGATTGACAGCGAGAGAATCAAAGTATACCTGTGGTAGGTGATTCACTTTTCTCTTTCATTTCCTAGATGTGACTCTGCCAGCTGTATATATACATACATTGACAGTTTGTCTTATGCTGCATGTTCTTTGGGTATACCTACCTACTGTACCTAGTGTGTACACAATGTTGCAATAACATGGAAACTGCCCCTGACTATGCGTCATGAATACTTTCATAGTAAAAGGTTGAAGTATGCATGAAATTATAGTTCATAGCATACCAGTCATAGGTATAATAGATAGATGATAGATAAAAACCACCACCAACATATATCCACAGATCCCAAAATATCCATACATCCTTTGATTATATAGGCAGACAATAATATAGCAAGCCACCACACAGAGAGGGCAAGAAATGAGCTATCATTACACCCACCGCCCCAGTTCTCAAGGCTGGGCACCTGGTGTCCTACCGTGTTGTGTGCAACTGTGTTGTTTGTGTCTGTGTGTGGGTGGAGGATGGGGGGTGGAGGGTGACTTCTGGTTTTCTTTCTTTCTTTTCTATTCTCTGTGGCTAGTATGCTATAAATATACTTTTCATGCTTGCCTTCTCACCTATGCTGTATTACACAATCATGTGTCACCTACTGTTTTTCATTATTGATTATTGATCAAATTGCCAGGGACACAGTGGTACGGAGACATTTGACTCCATCACCACCAGCTACTATAGAGGTGGAGCCGTAAGTCCTTCTCAATTATTCACAGATCGTCATATGACTAGGTGACCTTTTCCTGTACAGGGCATAATAGTAGTGTATGATATTTCAATGCTGCAAAGCTTCAACCAGCTCATCAAGTGGATCAACTATGTTCAGATTGTGAGTGACTAGTTTATACAAATTGGAGTGGAACTGTTTGCATAATTCATAGCTCACTGCACCGTTCTTAGTAATCTGTGATACACCTTCAATTTTAAATTTCCTTGCTCCCTGGCATTGCTGTAATAAAACACCGCTTGCCCCTATATATTATAATTAGCATGGGACGGCAGATGTGTGTCTGATGCTGCTCGGGTCAAAGTCCGATCTGGATAGCAGAAGAGAAGTCACAACAGAGGAGGGACAAAAGGTATGTCAAACTGGTCAAGTTAACTTGAAACTATGTACATACCTATATACTATGTTTTGTGGATAATAGCCGGTCCCCCTTTACTTTCCTTCATCTTTACTTCTGGTCCCTGTTTTCCTCTTAAATGCACTTTTTATAATTCGTTTTAGAGTAATAGCAAACTTTCTCTGTTTAGTCCCAAAGCATATCATGTTGCTAGTATCCACTGATGCAGTGAGGGTCATTAATCACACCACTCCCCCTCCCACTCAGTTTGCAGACCACCATGACATCACACATTTCTATGAAGTGAGTGCAAAGACAGGAGAGAATGTCACAGAGTCTTTTGAGGCCTTCTTCAGAGACATCCATAGAAAAGTCAGTATACTTACAGAATAATAATATGGCTGAAACCAATTTCCTACTTGTTTGTCTGCAGGCCCAAGGGACATTGGTAAAAAGCACGGAAACACCGACATCCACAAACACAAAAAAGTCATGCTGTTGATGCTGTTACCCTTTTTATTTTGTACATTGCTTTTCCTTCCGTAACAAAATCTTCGCTCCACAAAGTTCAAGAAATGCGTTGCGCACGCGCACTCAGGTTCGGGGGCGTGTGGGGGGTGGGTGGCATGCACGTCAAAGTTTACTTACTTGTGGTCGAATGTGACGTTGTGCATGGCGACTACCTCTTCTTCCCAGTCGGAAGGTTCCCCGATCCCCCATGACCGGTGCGAACACCACCATACAGAGGAGCTGCGCTTTTACTGCCGTAGGTGCCGCCAGGCGGTTTGCCGCGACTGCATAGCCTTGGACCGCAACCACTGTCTACCTCCCTGTGATTACAAGCCAATCAAGGACCTAGCGAGGATATGTCGCGAAGGCCTACGATCTTTCACCAAACGACTAGACGACAAGAAAGCCGAAGGCCAAGAGGAAAGCGGAGGAGTTGAGGCGATGCTTAGGGAAGATCGCGCGAAGTATGAGGCCGAGGTATGTGACTTCTACGACAGGCTGATTCGAGAGCTCGAGAAAAAGAAGCAGAAAGCGATTCAGGAGATACGGGAGGGAGGCGAGTCAGTTATTAGAGAACTCGGGGCATGGCAGAAGGAGAAACGTGACCTTCTTTCACAGATACAGCGTTACAGCAGAGTGTGGAGGGCCTAAGTGATAAGGAACTTCTGGCACAGAGCGATGCACTAACGCTGGAAGCAGAAAATGTACAACTGAAGGCGCTACCAGTTGTTGGTACACGAGCAGCGTCTCATAAGATGGTCTCTGTTGAGACGGTATTGGCGAAACTAGGCGGTGACTTGCCTGAATATGCTACGATTGATCTGAAGCAGTCGGTCATTCAAGTGAAAAAGGAGGTAGAGGTCAACACTACTGCACATGTGTACGTCACTCTTCGTGATTCTGCAGGCTTTCCATGCTCAGTTGAACAAAACCTGTCAGTGAAAATTGTTCCTTTTGCTAGTGGTACAGATGCCACACCACTCGCTGCCGAGGTGACACCCCTGTCATCATCCCGCTATTTGGCACGCTTTACACCTACACTACATACTAGAGGTCGTAGGAAGCTCATTGTGGAAGTAAACGGAGAGAGAATAAATGATGACTTTATCGCAATACTAGTTCAGTGTCCTCCACAGCATCTGCGGGACCACGAAATGGAAACAATTGACAACATTGTTCATAGGGGCTGCCTCAAAAGTGTTGGTAATCATGTATTTTGCCTCACTAGGTCAGAGCGAAAGGAGCCACAGGCTATGTACATTGATGGTGGAACTGTTACCACACCTTACACGTTAAAGTTACTGCTGCATGGTCGCCCACAAATCTGGAGCCCAGATGAGATTGCCATTGGGAATAACTCCCTCTACGTCAGTGACCCCCACAATAGCAAGGTTCACCGCTTCAACCTCAGTGATGGCACCTACATTGCTTCTACCGGTAGCAAAGGGTCTAAAGAGGGGCAATTCGATCGTCCAAACGGACTTTGCTTTGCTCAAGACAACTACCTCTATGTATGTGACAGTGAAAACCACCGAATCCAGGTTTTTGATCAAGACCTCAGTTTTTGCCGTACATTTGGTGAATTGGGAACGGAGAGGTCGTGCTTCCTCTGGCCCAGCAATGTTGCCAGTAGTTCAGAGGGTGGGCGTGTCCTGTTGTACGTGAGCGAGCTGTACAACCACCGTGTCCAGTGTGTCACCAGCACCGGGGACCACATTCGATTCATCGAGGGTTCTGGGACTAGAGAGAGGCAGCTGAGCAGACCCAACATTCTCCACATCCACATCTCCCACCTGTATGTCTCAGATGACAGGGGAGTCGTCGTGTTCAATCTGAGTGGGGAGTTTGTCACACGGTTTGCAACTGAGCTGTGCAAAGTCGGAATATATCCCATCGAGGGACTGACTGTCAGTAGCGATGGATTTGTGTATGTCTATCATTCCCCACAGAACAGAATATATCTGTACTAACACTTTGTTTGAATACATAATTACGCTATTGGCGAGTGAAAATGAATGTATAATGACAGGTGGCATACGTGATTGTCAATATAACACTATGTGTGTGACAGCGCCAGCCAGTACATAATGGAAATATCCTGCATTAATGATAACACACAGTAGGTATGAAAGTGTGATGATAAGGTTTGTGATGCTCGTGCATATTATATGCATAATCAAAATAGCTGATGTTGACAAAAACACCCGATGGAAATCATTTTTTTGAGAGGAGCTGATTATAGAGTCAATATTCACTCAGTCTTGTCCAACCAGCAGCCTGGAGCCCGTGCCTCAACTTGGCAAGACACCACGTATGAAGTTTCTTCACAACAAAAACCCAGTGAAGTGTGACTCCTATGATGTACACAAGGGGGATGAGTGTTGCAAGTGTTAGGAGAATAAGATGCATAACGAGGTCAAACACGTGATAGGGACCATATTCAAGTGCATTAACAAGGAGAGCTGAGCACCAAAGCAGCAAACTAAGCAACAGCATCATATCTATCTCAGGTGTAGATGCTTCTTGTACGGCTGAAGAGAAGCTACCAAAAACCATGTACAAAGCAATGGTGAATGTGATGAATACGGTCACTTCTTTGTGGTAATTTGATATGTCGAAAAAGAAAATGATGATAAACCTCAAAAAAGGTGTAGTCCAGCAAACCAGCGATAGTCTCTGGTACCATTAGTCCCATCCTTATAGCAACCTTGAAATGAATCTGCAAATATGTGCAGGGTGGTGCACTGCCACTGGCGGTTGTTTAGAAAGGTCTGAAATGACCTCAGAGGATAGAGAAAGAGGAGCAGTAGTGGAATCAGAATCAAGACAAAAGTGAGGAATAGAGCTGTCAGAGCATAGGGGAGATGCTCCCGTCCAAAGTAAGTTACGGTGGGGTCAATATACACAAAGATGCTGTAATTTCCTTTGAGAGAAGAGACATACACTGGCTGAAGAATGATGAATGATGTGCAGCCAATTTTGTTAATAGCTAGGATTATGAATGTTGCAAAGGCGTCAACAAGTGAGGTTTGAATGTCCACTCTCTGCCTTAGTCGAGCAAGACAGGATACTACTGGTCTGCACAAACAGAACACGATCCTGTGACCTTTGTTGTAGAGCTTTATACCAAAGTACACCACAAGTAGCACAACTAGTGGAAAGAGAGCAATCACATACTCCAAGAATTTTGCTTGTAAGGTAGACATGTGAGGACTGAGGCACATGTCAGGATACACAGAACGAAAAATGTCCAAGTTTCCCAAACCAAAAAAGGTAGCAAATGCTTTCCAACAGCCGTCATGCACACTTCTTGATATGAGATGGGACTGGGTGGTTGCTTCTTTCGGCAATATTTGAATAAACATATACTGAGGAGATGCCATGACTTGACTGACAAGAATGAAGGTGCTCATGGGAGGTCTGGCCACACTGATCCTCAGAGTGATGATTGTCAGACAGAAAACTGCCAGAAGCAGAAATGATACCAGAAACCACACAATAGAGTCTCTCACCACCTCCGGAGAACATGGAATACACTGCATACTGTAAGAGTAAACAGGAGGTCCATGACCATCTATACATTGAGCACACAGACGTCCAGTTCTCTTCCATAGCCTACCGCACAAACTGTAATCTAGATCAGTATTGTTGAAGTCCTGCTGTGTAATGAGACAAGTGTACGGACAAGCCCCAACTGTAACCACTCCATTTCCATTCACAGTCATGCAGAAGCACCGTAGGACACCCACATGGTCATTGTAACACGTTATGATTCCTCCAAGGTGACTCTTACACTTGCACTCTCCGTCGTACCTGAGGAACTGAGGGATGGGGCAGGTACTGTTGCTCCCAGCTGATTCCCAGTCTTTGCTGGTATATACGTCAATGGTACGACCAACACAAGCAGTATGATGACGATGAAACCCATTCTCAAGGAGAACTGCATCTAAGTCTCTCCAAGCCAAAGACTTTTAATATTTCAGTTTCTCTGTAACTGTTTTATATTAGGGAATGTAGCTAACTACGCTGATAGTAAGCTAGTAAATATTTTCACATTTATTTTGTCCAAAAACTTTCACTTACAAAAGTTATGTTTCGGACACTCTTTCTGGTAATAAATGCCCCCTCTATACATAAGCAAAGACTGCATGTTCATTTGTGGTTTATCTTATTCTCTAGAAGTTATTGGCGAGCGGAGCGGGAGCGAGCCAACCTAATGGCGCGATTTTACGTCCGTACATAAAAAAAACAGTGTTTATAGCATACTAGCTAAAAGAATAATATGAGAGGAAAAGGAAGAACCCTTAAACCCCCCACCCAAGCACACAAAACACAGACAATAACATATAAACAGAAAGAGAGAGGCAGGACCCTGGGTGCCCAGCCTTGAGAACCAGGGCGGTAGGTAAAGAGTCTTTTACGGGCCCAACTCTCCATACACACCCAGTGCCTTACACATAGTTAGATAGAAATCATGAACAAAAAAACGACAGCTACAGGATAAAATCAACAGCCACTAGAAAAATAGAAAGCCTCAAAGGATTAATGAACTCATAGAAAAATATAACACGCTCCCGCTCGCCAACAATGTTCAACATTCTACTAGTACTACACTATACAGAAGATGCAGGTTGGACATAATCATGCAACCAAATCAAGATACTTGCTTCATTGCAGCTACAAGCTGTAAGAAACCTGCAATATCAAAGGGATGCCTTGAACACCGACCAAGGGCTGGGGAGGAAAAGGAGACAAAACTACATGACGTCTTCCCTGCGTAAGACAAAGAGATGGGGATATGGTGTCATGTAGCTTTTCCTCTCTTCTTTCTGCAGGCAGCGTGAGCTGCTCAATTTCCGTGTCACTTGCATCTACATTTTCGTACTTTATGCAGCAGATTTTCGAATCCCTGTTCCCACCTACTTTTCTTCCTGTCGCATAAGTTTCTACTGCGCATGCGTCCCGGAACACTAAAATTGGGCGTATCACAAATAGCTCTAAGTGATGGAGGAAGGCGTAGAGACGAGAGATAAGCCGCTGGAGGAGCTCGAGAGAGAGATTACTTGCTCTGTGTGCCACAATATCTACGACCAAGCTAAGCTGCTTCCCTGCAACCACTACTACTGCTCCTCATGCATCGACAGTTTGGCAGCCCGCTCGAAGGGTAAGCCGTTCGACTGCCCAGAGTGCCGCAAAGAGACGTGTCTCCCTAGTTCTGGCGGCGTGGCCGGGCTCCAGCCCGCCTTTTTCGTGGAGAGAATGAAGGACGTTTACTTCAAGATAGCCAAGGTAGAAGGGAAGGTGGAGGCCGTTTGCGAGCAGTGCTCAGCAGCAGCTAAGTCGGTTGCCTTCTGCCGCCAGTGCGCCCATTTTATTTGCAGCCATTGCGTGCGTTGCCACAAAACTCTAAAGGTTTACGCGGGCCATGAGGTTACGAGCCTAGAAGATTTGAAAAGAGGAGGCGTCAAAGAAATCCCGCTGAAGGAGCCTATGTCCCGCAAATGCGCAGAGCACGACAAACGGCTGAAACTGTTTTGCTTTGACTGCGACAGCCTCATCTGCCGGGACTGCACCATGATCGACCACAAGGATCACAGGTTTGATTTTCTGAAAAATTGTGCTCCCAAGAGCAGGAAGACACTGCGAGACTCCCTTGCTCCACTCTTGAAGGTAAAGACCAACATGGAAAAAGCTGAAAAGGAACTTGTCTCTGAGGAAAGTAAGGTGGACAGGCAGAAGGAGCGGGTGTGGAGTTCCATCCAGCAGTCATTTGACCAACTAAAGGCAATTCTTGATCAGAGAAAGTCAGAGCTGGTGAGGAAAATGTCCTTGCTGGCACAAGAGAAGAAGAACGCTCTAGCAGCCCAGAAGAAGGTATTGCAGGCAGCGCAGAAAGAGGTCCAGCTTCTGGTTGAGTTTGTCGAGAGGAATCTGGAGAGCACGAGCGACCAAGACCTAATGAGCATCCACAAACAACTGCAGACCAAGATTGAAGAGGAAGAGAATCATCACTGTCGAGTGTCATTGACACCAACAGCCTCTGCAGACATCTCTTGTTGGCTTCCATCTCCCGACGTCATTCCTGAATACCTCGGATCCGTTTTTGACGGAGCAGCACGAGAAGTATGCGTCAGTCCCCCCGCAGCATGTGAAATTGGTTCCCCGGTCAAAGTGGTATTGGCTGCACCCACCGCTTTGCTGGAAGATGTGTCGTTTGCTCTGGAATCTGTGGTGGATCCATCGTTGCCACAGGAGGGAAAGGTGGTCCGGGATAGTGGGGGTTTCTTTAGCATCTCCGTCACTCCTCAAGTAAGGGGTCGGCACAAACTCACGCTCAAGGTAAAGAATGAGGAAATTGTGGGGAGCCCCTTCCAGGTGTTTGTAAAGATCCCTCCCTCTACGTTAGGTCAGGGCCAGCTTGGTACGCTAGGTGGTCTCCAGGCTCCGTGGGGGATAGCTATAAACGACAAACAGCAACTCGTGGTATCGGTGGCTGAGCGCGATGGGGAAAAGGTGGTGGTAATGGAGAAAGATGGAACGATGATTCAAACAATAGAGAGTGACCAATTGAAAAATCCTTGTGGGGTAGCTGTTGATTCGAACGGAGCGATCTATGTCACAGACATTGTTGCCAAAAGTCTCTTCAAGTTTAACTCAAAGGGAGAACTTGTGAAAGCAATTCAGAATGAGTTACAAGAGCCATATGGTATTAAGATCGTTGACAATCTACTCTATGTCACCGACTATCAGAGCCATCTGGTAAAGATATTTGACAGGGACTGCAAAGTTATTGGAGCTATAAAAACAAATAAGTGCCCAAAACCACAAGACGTTGCACTCGGTCCAGATGGCTTGTATGTGGCCGGGAAGGGGAAGATCGCTGTGTACACATGTGCCCCAAAAGGAGCCTTTATCCGCCACGTAAACCTCACGCCACATTCACTAAAATTCTCAGAATTTAGTGGCATATGTTTTGATGCTAATGGTCATATCATTGCTTGTGACTGGGAAAATGGTGTGTATTTCTTCAAACCCAGTGGCGAGTGTGTTGGTCATGTCGGTAGTGATGTAATTCAGTCGCCAACTTCTGTCACAGTTGATCAGGATGGCTTTGTGTATGTATGCAGCTTTTGTCATGATCGTGGGGTTATGGTTCTGTAGTTTTTGGTTTATAAGAACTTTACCTCCAGTATTCTTTTGTATATCCTTTTGGCAGCATATAATTTTTGTGTATAATGATAATTAACTCTATGCACCGGATTATTGTTGCTTACCGTTGTGAGGATACAATTTCTTACCTTGCAGGATCCCGGTCTGCGTGCGAGGTGCGTGCGGCGGGGTATACCCACGTGATCGGCTGTGATTCGATATCGCGTTGTGCGTGCCCGCCGTGCGGTACGGTACGCGGTTGGCCTTTGGAGAGGGAAAGTGGCCATGCGATCACGTGATTCGTACCTCCCGCGCGCACGCGCATCGTGGTTTTGGGGAGGAGCTATTGCCAAGCCCCTCCCCCTGGCGTATTTTGTGAGGGGTGCGGCAAAAATCCCCCACCATAGCGACGACGCACCGGGAACTCACATCGGACGGATGGAAAAAAGAGCTATAGCACCTAGATCCGAGGACGTATTCGGGACGGCGGTGGGCTAAATTTGCGTTGCCGAGATAGAGCAATCCGACTTTTGCGCTGCGGAGATAGGACACTGATGCCGTCTGCACCACGAATGCAAAATGCTCGCTGAACCGGGTGAACGCTCCCGCGCCAAATGCAACATCCGCGCATGCGCAAGTCGGCCGCGCCGGCCCGTGCGCCTGAGCGCGCGCGCCTCCTGCGTGTGCGGCGCGGGGGGGCCGGCCCAAGGCTGCCGTTAAACACAGCAAACTACGTTTAATATGAGACAAAGATATAGGGATGGTGTCATGTAGCTTTGTGCATCTTTGCTGTGTAGCTAATGATCCCTTGTTTCTTCCTTTTTGGTGCTTCAAGCCATCCCTATATCCCCCTTCATTCTGAAGAAATGATTTTTCCACTTGTATAGAGTAAGGAGTAGGGAGAGTCACCATCTTGTGAGCCTTTACTTCCTAAAGACGACTATCAAACTTATAGTCCCTTAGTGCCTGGTTGCACGTGCGCAATTATACTCTCTACATGTAGTATATATGCCCATTATAATGTATTGCCTGGGGTAATTTTGTTGTTGTTTACAGTAAGCAACATTGTACTGTAAACAAGAAGAAGAAGGAGAAGGAGGAGAAGAAGAAGAAGAAGATAGCCCCATACATCTATGATGGTAGGTACCATGCCCATCCCTACTAAGTACTACTATACATTGTCTGGGATATACATACCTAGCTAGGACACTGGTTTCCCACCTTGGCTCCAGTGCATTCTCTCAAAAAAGTAAATTACATTCCTCCAACCTTGTAAAAAGATTGTCTGGGAGGTTTAGTGTGTAGGCCACTGGATTCCCACCAGTACCTTCTCTCGTCTGACCTGAGAAGGCCTCTGTTGGTGACAGTGTGGGAAGCTGGGAAACTATGGAACTAAACTGTCAAGTGTCATGTGGCAGAGGGTGGTAGGTGAAACAGAAGCAGGATCTCCACATGTGCAAACTATAAAGATACTACTATTGTTTTATTTTTTAAATTTATTTTTTTGGATTTCGATGAATCATACACAAATAGCAATAGGCTAGTACATGGTGCATGACTGTATACGAGAATTACATAATCAACCACTCTCTCAAACAAGACTTGAAGGAAGAAATGCAGTCAGACGATCTTATTGAAAGAGGGAGTGAGTTCCAGACTGAGCATGTCTTTGGTACAAATGAGTTAAGGTACGAGTTAGTCCGACAAAAAGGCTGACAATATAAGTGGTTTGACGAGTGTGAGCATGTCATCGGCGTAGAGTGTCATGTGTGTCCCAGGCGAGAACGGTAAACTAGCTAACCTACGAACTTTGACCAAACGACTAGACGACAAGAAAGCCGAAGGCCAAGAGGAAAGCGGAGGAGTTGAGGCGATGCTTAGGGAAGGTCGCGCGAAGTATGAGGCCGAGGTATGTGACTTGTACGACAGGCTGAATCGAGAGCTCGAGAAAAAGAAGCAGAAAGCGATTCGGGGGGTACGGGAGGGAGGAGAGTCAGTTATTAGAGAGCTCAGGGCATGGCAGAAGGAGAAACGTGACCTTCTTTCACAGATACAGTGTTTACAGCAGAGTGTGGAGGGGCTGAGTGACAAGGAACTTCTGGCACAGAGAGATGCACTAACGCTGGAAGCAGAAAATGTACAACTGAAGGCGCTACCAGTAGTTGGTACACGAGCAGCGTCTCATAAGATGGTCTCTGTTGAGACGGTATTGGCGAAACTAGGCGGTGACTTGCCTGAATATGCTACGATTGATCCGAAGCAGTCGGTCATTCAAGTGAAAAAGGAGGTAGAGGTCAACAACACTACTGCACATGTGTACATCACTCTTCGTAATCATTCTGCAGGCTTTTCATGTTCAGTTGATGCCACACCACTCGCTGCCGAGGTGACACCCCTGTCATCATCCCGCTATTTGGCACGCTTTACACCTACACTGCATACTAGAGGTCGTAGGAAGCTCACTGTGGAAGTAAACGGAGAGAGAATAGATGATGACTTGATCGCAATACTAGTTCAGTGTCCTCCACAGCATCTGCGGGACCACGAAATGGAAACAATTTGACAACATTGTTTATAGGGGCTGCCTCAAAAGTGTTGGTAATCATGTATTTTGCCTCACTAGGTCAGAGCGAAAGGAGGCAAAGGCTATATACATTGATGGTGAAACTGTTACCACAGCTTACACGTTAAAGTTATCGCTGCATGGTCGCCCACAAAACTGGAGCCCAGATGAGTTTGCCATTGGGAATAACTCCCTCTACGTCAGTGACCCCCACAATAGCAAGGTTCACCGCTTCAACCTCAGTGATGGCACCTACATTGCTTCTACCGGTAGCAAAGGGTCTAAAGAGGGGCAATTCGATCGTCCAAACGGACTTTGCTTTGCTCAAGACAACCTCTATGTATGTGACAGTGAAAACCACCGAATCCAGGTTTTTGATCAAGACCTCAGGTTTTGCCGTACATTTGGTGAATTGGGAACGGAGAGGTCGTGCTTCCTCTGGCCCAGCAATGTTGCCAGTAGTTCAGAGGGTGGGCGTGTCCTGTTGTACGTGAGCGAGTTGTACAACCACCGTGTCCAGTGTGTCACCAGCACCGGGGACCACATTCGATTCATCGGGGGTTCTGGGACTGGAGAGAGGCAGCTGAGAAGACCCAACATTCTCCACATCCACATCTCCCACCTGTATGTCTCAGATGACAGGGGAGTCGTCGTGTTCAATCTGAGTGGGGAGTTTGTCACACGGTTTGCAACTGAGCTGTGCAAAGTCGGAATATATCCCATCGAGGGACTGACTGTCAGTAGCGATGGATTTGTGTATGTTTATCATTCCCCACAGAACAGAATATACATCTACTAACCCTGTAGTTGGCTCCATACTGTGCAAACTTCATGTAACATTGAAAGTAGGCTTCATATAATAGCAAGATTATTCTAAAATTCCGTCTCCAATTTTCTTTACTTTTCGCAAAATACTGAGCACTCATGTTTAGCCTCGTTTCCTGTGGGAACGAGCTTCTTGTTGGTTATTTACCCTCGAAGGCGTGAACGTGAAGAGCAACATTCATACACGCATGCCCGGCCGCGCACAGATCACTGCTAATTGCTTGAAATCCTGGTAGGATTACCACGATTGGGTGATGTCGCACAACCTGCACAAAAGCCCTCGCACAACCTGAGGTCGTTCAGAGCTAGTGTGTACACTCTGAACGACCTCACTTTTAGCAACTCTTTCTTTGTAGAGGTTTGAACCTAACAAGGGTTCAAACCTCGTCAGCGAAGAAAAAAGAAAGATTCACTGAGGCTGATGGGCTAGGCTACGCTGTTAGTTGTATATATAGCCAGTGAGCACTGAACATGTTGGTATCATTATTTTGCTTTCACATTCTGTGCGGTGGCAGAAAACAGACGGACACATTCTCCGCACATGTGTGCCGAGAGCTAAGGTTCACAAATTTGTCACCCTATACTATGGACAGTATAGTCATACAAATTTATGAACCCTAACTTCTGAAGTTGCATTTTGCTGAAATAGGCTTTGGTTTCTCATTGATCCGTGGCAAGAAAAACAATCACTTGCCAACTTTTGTCGAATCTTGAGACGTTTAGTGAAAATCAGTGCTTCAACATGCAGGTTCCGGTAAGGTGATAGCGGGTTTTACAGATGAGAAGAGGAAGATAAAGAATAATAATTATTATGATGACATGAAAATCGTAAAATGTGAAAGAGCTAATTCTCATGTGTTCTCATGTGGAGGCCTGTGATGTTTTTGGCACAAATATAGCAACGTATGGGTCCATTAGCAAGTCATTCTCACCGAGTTTTGAGTTCTAGTTTAATTATCACGTGAGATTTGACCTTTGCCATCCCTATATGAGCGTCTACCGATGGTCTAGAAAAATTGCGCAATTCAAAAGACTAGGTGGCTCACTTCACTCGCCAATAAAAAACAGCATCTTCCAATCACAATTAATGTAAATCACAAGTAATCATTACTGTAATTAGTCTGTAGTTCAGTTTAATCCTTAGCAAGCCATGGCATATATAGCCCATAAGTCCATAAAAATTTATATAATATGGCTATAATACTAGGAGTTAATATGTTATACGTCAAATGGGGATACCCGTGGCCTCCAAAGGGTTAATGGCCCTGACTGTGTCAAAACAGGTTGTTGCTTCAATGATTTTACACTTTCTATACCAACTCTTTGGAGAATGTAATCATGCCAGAGCTCAGGCTGAGTTTTATAACACTTAACAACTTTCTGGCGCATTATTGCAACATGTTGCCTTCGTTCTTCTCTAGATAACTTTGGATTTAAACCCAGCACGTAAGCATGAAAAAGGCAGCCACCTGAACCTGGTTCAATTTTCACCCTCTTTCCTTTTAGTACAACATCATAGTGCCCTTGGAAGTATTTTTCTCGTGGAGGAGTATAGATAAGTTCTATGTTGGGAGACGAAGCTTTTGTGTGGCACGGATCTATTGTACAACTTAGACATTTCTTTACATTTTTTATTTCATATATAGCAACACCTCGGCCATATTCTGGCAATGACACTGCAGCATTAAGTTCTAAGAGTGTACCTGGACTTTTGGAATCTTCCATGCTCCTTATGTAAGATGATATTTTGGGATTTTCACGTGTAGGCTGGTTCATGAAGCGGTTGTAGTTTGCTCTTTGACCTGCCTTAATTGCTCTCAGTGTTTGATCTGTTTTCATGCAGTCCCTTAAAAGCTTTTGTCCAACATGATTAATTTTTTTGTTTACAAAGCTGTTAACTTCTGCTCCAATGGTTTGCTTCAGTATAGTAGCAATGGCAGATGCGAGAATGTCTTCAAGTATGTCAATTAGCTTTTCCTTCAAATGTAATACTGAAGGAGAGTCGGAAATAGTGGAAGCAGATTGTTGCTCGAGAGGAGGAAGAGTTTTTGATTTTTCATAACCTTCACACAGTTTTTCAGCTTCTGGAATAAAACGTTGAACTAAGACTCTAATCTGGTTTTGAGCTTCAACTACGATGCCACCTGTTCTAACAATTTCCATTACAGCATGAACACTTTTACCCGGTTTACACAGTTTAATGAGCTTTTGAAACAGTTTTGAAGATGCTTTCTTCAATATTTGTTCTATGTCACTTGTTGATACAAGTGCTTTGACAGCTTCATCCCCTAAACCAGTGAAAAAATCACATGCTTGCCTTACAAATGCTGGTGGCAATTGACTATTCTCTACAATCATGTGTGTTGGTAACTTCAATACAACAAGTATGTTAGTGTATCTTCCCAAAACTCCCTGCATAAATGATGTCTGTATAGAGTTCTTCGCTTGTTCTTTGCATAGATCACCAATCATTCTACAAACACCATCAAGTACTTCCTTTTCAATCAGTGATAATCCTTGCATTGCAGCTTGTTCTACAAACTCTTTTCCCACATACTTTAAAACATGCTTCAAATTGCCTTTAATGCATTTGGAATACCCTACATTTACCATTTTAGTAGCAGCACCAAATTCCTTCCGTATTTGGTTGGCGACTTTTGCCACTTTGGCAATTTTTGGTACTTTAGTAACAACACGAGAAATGCCACCGGAGAAAATGGACAATGTCAATCCAGCTGCTTTGCTTAGGCCCCATGAAGTCCAGCTGAATTCTCCTCTCCACATTCCAATAATTCCGTCCATACAGTCAGATATTCCTTCAACTATTAGGGTCACTCCAATTGATGCTGTTGTTCCAACAGTACAAACACATAGCACCACTCCAGTTATTAGCTGTGCTACGCCAAGGGTACAAACCACTGCAGCACTCCAACAAAATGCAGGTTTGGTTTTCAAAGAAAACATCATTTCAAGGCCTTGATTCCACAGTCCATAGAGCTCTCGGTGTGTTGTGCCATGTAGGCTGGGTATAAGTGAAAAGATACCAATTGGGTTGGATGCAATATTATCACTTTCTTTCATTTCTTGAATAATTTTAATTGATTCTTCCATGTTGTTGGATAGGAAGTGTAGTATTTGTATTCGAGTTTTCATTTGGACAGTAAATCCTTCATCATTTTCTGAGTCCTGAATGCCTTCATTTGAATTTTTTTTCATCAGTAGAGTTACACACTGTAAAACATATGTTACATCACTCATGTAGTTCACTAGAGTGTTGCTTGCATTTTCCAAATCTTCCAAAGCTTCCTTTTTGTAATTGCTTCCTTTCTTCACTATGGTGCAGTAGGCACGATTATAATGAGCAATGAATGCATACCGAGGCTCAAGCTCAATGCTCTTACTGTAGTACCGATGAGCTCTGGCAAGATTTTCCTCCTTCATTGAGATGAGTAAATTATTAGCAAATTTCATCAAGTGGTAATAGTTTATAAAGGGGAAGGATAGAACATCGCCATCTATTTTTATAATCCAATTTCTATGTTGTGCATCAAGCTCCTCATGCAGTATTTCTTCATTACGGGTCTCACCTAATATTTCCTCATTCTTCATCTGGAGCCATTGACCCCATACTTCATTTAGGCAGTCAATTATTATTTTTATATCATCCCTGTGCCCAAGCAGTGAATGTATTCTTTCAAGAGCCTTACAGTGCTTCTTGAAAAGTGCCTCCTTACATTGCACTTGTTTAATGTCTCGCTTCATCATTGTTCTTAAACGGACATTCTCAGCATCCTCCCTTAGCTTTCTCATTGACTCAGCATCACAATTTCTGTAGTGCTGTGAAAGAGAAGCGGCATGGATGATACATTGTGCTGATCCTGGATCACCTTTCCTGGCCGCTCTCCCAAATGCTTGCAATTCTACTCTTCGATTGCGTGCAAGAAACGTTAATATGCAGAAAAGTCCTCCACTCTCCTTGACTTCCTCTGTTACTTTTAAATCTGTCCCCCTACCCGCAAGATTTGTTGCAATTATAATTTCTCCAGGGGTCATGGTATGATCAATTGTTTTAGTTTCATCGGAACTACTATAAGCATACAACTTCACTGTTTTTTCTGTATACTTTGCCAGTTTTCTTTGAAGGACATGTCTTCTCAATTGCTCTGCTGTTCTAATGTCTTCACAGAGTATGAGAACTGCACGCCCGCTTCCTTTCCAGGGTTTTGGCTCTACAGCATCATCAACAGCTTTTGTTATCTCTCTAAACCAGTCTTCATTACTGCCATTAACAATTATTGCGTCTTTCTCATATATTTTTCGATGCTTGTGGCAAGGAACACAGCCAACTTTAACATTAAAAAGTTCTTTCAGTAGCTCTTTGGTGGCTGAGCATTCAATGCTGAGTGTCCCAGATAGCCCATAGATACCATTATATTTGTACCTTGAAAAAAGTTCAATGTGAGACATGAAATTTGTTACCACAGACATAGGGCTCAAACATAGCCCATGTTTCATCTCCAGCATTTGTTGCAAACCAGCACCCCATTTTTTGTTAAGTTCCAGTATTCCACTGTTTTGAAAATCAACTGGGATAATCCTACCATCCATGATAGCATATTCCCTGTCTTCTAGCATCTGCAAACATTGAATTGCACTATTGACATATACCGGTAACTGGTGTGTCACAAATGTCTCCAAAAAGAGGGGAACTATTAGCATTTCATTATCACCATGGCCTTCTGCTGTACTTGAGAATTCAATGTTATCCTGGACTTTCTCTACTGTTCCCTCTGCTAGTTCTGTGCGGCTATACAAGGCAGTTGCAACTCCGTGGTCAAATATTAGAATGTTCTTCGTGTATTCCATTGGCGAGTGTGCCAAATACGATTTTGTTGAAATTATTTGCCCATCTTGGCCAACTATGTAAGGTACAAGAAACAAACCGGTGCACTTTCGCACTTCTTGTATGATCTCTATGATAGTATCAGTATTTATGCATTTTATTGCCTCTCTCTTTTCTTCATGACTACCTTCTACTAGCTTCAGTTGAATTTCTTTACTTATGAAGCCAGTCTTTTCAGCTAGTTCAATAATGTCGAGTACATCATTAAACTGGCATTCAGAACATATTACTTCAAATATAGCTTCAAAGAATGGATATTGATCTCGAGCATAAAAAATGTACCCATCCGCTGTTTTTAATGGTCTGTACTGCCCAACTACTGCCCAGACACTTGCAATAACTGGCTCCATATGGTGTAAGAATGCAGCATCGTGTGAAAGATAAGTAAATTTTACTCCCTCGTCCAGTAGTAGAAGGTCTACTTCATCTGCAATTACAGCATCAAAACTGCGACTACATCTTATCTCTTTTCTTTGAAATTCTTCTCTAAGAACATCTGCAGCGAAACTGCTAACAGTGCCATACAAAATTTGATTTTTATAGCATTTCCTTTTTGCTTCATCTGCATCTTTTTCCTTGTCAGCTGAAACCTTGTTAAAATCTGTATTATGACTCACAGTAAGGCCAAAAGTTGAGTAAAACTGCTTCCAGTCTTCAGAATCACGGCAAGCTAGGATAGGAGAACTTGTAATGATGTCTACATGCTTTCCTTGCATGCCAAGTGCTGCAGCAAACATTGCTATTATGCACGATTTGCCTTCCCCTGTGAGAACCTCGAGTAGATGGTTTACTGATCTGGAGCTGGAGAGAATGAGAATGGCTAGAGCAGCCAACTGTGCCTCATGAGGAAAAAAGGGTGTGGTGTCTTTAACTGCACATGCAAGTGTTGTAATGGCAGAAGCAATTCTCTCTGTAGCAACACTTCCACTTCTAAGGTCTGTTAAACACAATTTTGCAGCCGAAATTGCTACAGGACTAAGATATTTCTTGTAATCAAGATCAAATTCAGAGCTATTTTGATGAACTTGGGATAAAATATCCTTTAGGTCTACCATTATACTTCTGTCCACCGTTCCACTCTCTAGGAGCTCACTCTTTTCAATTTCAAGTAGAATAGTGCCGAAGTCAACTTCTGGTTCGTTTTTTACATATTCAGCAAGTGACATTTGTAATTTGTTTGGGGTCTCTTCAAAAAGTTCTCGTACAACTTGAAATGGTATGCTATAGGACTGAATTAAGTGATAAATGCATTTGAGGTTGGCCATTGATACATTGTGTTGGAAGAATATTCTCAGAATATAGTACCTTTCTTGTGTTGTCCACCGTCTGGGACTGGGTTGAAAAAACATTGCTTGAAACTCAGGGTCCTTCAGTATCACGGAAACAAGGACATTTAAGCAATTATTCAAAAAAATGCTTTCATAGTAACCTAAGCTTATTCCGCAGTCCATTAGATGAATTAGAAATATGCTTGTTTCATCCATATTATCAGCAGCTGTGAAACTATCAAGATTCGCAATTAGGTGACCCATAACCTTAGTAAGGGAGAGTAACTCCTCAATATTGAGGTGTTTTCGAACATTAACAAGTGAATATGTAATCGATTGCTCTTCAACTGTTGTTAGGTGCCTTGCTTGACAATACTGTAGTAGAAAGCGGGTCTGGGCACATTCCAGCCATTCCTTTTTAACTGTTCTATCTGATATTTGCATTTCACTTACTGCCTCCAAGAGCTGTTCAAATAATTCTCCTGTATCTTCTTCGAAATCTATGTCTTTTTCACTTTCTGATCCAATCAGAATTTCACGGCTTCTAATTGATTCCACACATTCAGCTCCTTGGTAGTCAGGAGTCGTAAGAGTGATATCCCTTTGATGTGTTTGAATTTCAACAACTTGACGAACTTTTTCTTTCTCCTTTTTCCAAACCCATGAATAAAAACTTTGCTCCTCAGTAATACCTCGAGAAAGTTCATATTCAACTTCTCTTCTCTCCCGCTGTTTCTTTTCACGCTCTATTGCTATTCTTTCCTGTTTTCTTCTTTCCATCTGTTCCAACAAAAACCTCTTTTGCTTCTCGACTTCTCTCTGAGCTTCCTCTGCCCTCCTTGCCATTTGCTGCTTTCTTTCTTCTATTTCCATCATCAATCTCCTTGATCGCATCCGTTCTTCTAGACTTCTTTGTGCTTCTTCAGCTCTCTTTTGATGCCTTTGTCTTTGTTCTTCTTCTTTTCTCTCCATAATTTCTCTCTGTCTCTGAGCTTCAGTATTTTTCTCCTGCTCCTTCATTGTTGTTTGAGGCTCCCAAAAGCATGCATTGCAATAATAAGTGGGAGAATTTTTAATTCTGTAGTATTTTCCTCCAAGAAAAACATAAACCTCAACAGTATCTGCTCCCCGGCAAATGTATTGTTCAGTAAATTGACTCCATTTTTTACAAGGTGGTAAGCTCTTATGACATTTGCAGCTAACTCCATTATACTCTGATGGGCGTTTTGTCAGGCTATTTCCCATTATGTGGTTAATGCTAAAATAATACCTGGATAATCAATAATAGTATGTATGTCATAAATAATATCTAGTGAACCATTAAATAAGAGAATATGTTTAACACCCTCAGTTTATAGTTGGTTTTCAGTTTATGTCATGTGATGTCAAATTGGGCTGGCATTCTATGGTTGAGCAGAGCTGTCCACGCAATTGACATTGTCAAAACAGCATGAGACGTTGGTATAATGTTACCCCAGCAACAGAGTGTTATGGAGTACAGGTTATCTGCGTGTAGTAACACCAACAGCTGAGGGCTGAGTCACTCCCTAATCATCACCCACTTTGCCTTCCTTTATATATAGGGAATTCAGGCATTGTGCTGGGGAAACAGTAGGTGCGTGCTCATATATACTTGCCATGATGTTATTAACCCTCTGCGCGCAAGCGAGGGTTGGTCTGTGTGTGTCTGGCTATTCTCGCACTACATGGTTGAGGCGACCTATGAGCGATACCAACGGCTTCAGAACTACGCGAGCCTGAAAATATAAAGGCGATTTTTTCTGAAATGACTGCGTTCGAGAGATATGCCGTGAAAACAAGCGAAAAAGCCAATAGCTATGCATAAATCGCACTGACTGAAATCGTTTTGTAAACTGAACCACAACTGATTTCCATTTTTACACCAAAGGCCCAGGTACGTCAGTGTCATAGGCAAATGGCTTTGGCAGAGACGGTCTCTTTCTCAAAGGGTATAACAGTTGTGGTTCAGTTTACAAAACGATTTCCGGGCCCACTAGGTGCATTGGAAAAACTAGCTAAAAAATGGTTTGGTTACCAATCAGCAGCGCTCTGGTGTTATTGCGCGCTAACCAACGCGCTGCGCATTACAATTGAACCAGTTTTTCAAAAACGGGTTGAATTGCGGTATTTAGCGCGGTATGTTAGGCGAACGCGCTTTAGCGTAGATGGCTAGAGAGCGTTAGCGCGTAATCCGTGCACTTTAGCGTGTAAGCCAAAGCGTGCGTGCACTAACGATTTTTTCCCCATTTGGCGCACCATAGCAACTACTCCGAGTTGGATATGCGTGCGTATGTGTCGTCAATTAGTCACGCTTAGGAATGTCAATTAGTCACCAAAAGGAAGTGTAACTTCCGTCATTCGTAGGAAGTCTAGCTTCCGCCGTGCGCGCAGATTCGTAGCTTCGCGCGCAGTCAGTAGAGCGCGCGCACGAGCGGCCTCAGTCGGACTGTTCACGCATTGGCTGGCAGGCGCGAGGCAAAATATGCGCGTGCGCATTCCTAGTATATCCAGTATATATCCAGTGCGGGATAAGTATGCTATATCTAGTCCGGGGTATGTATCCGGCGCGGAATTTACAAATGACGCGCGGGATAAAAAAACAACTGCAAAATGTTGAGACAGACGGCGCCCCATAGATCGAGCTTCACCCAGGAGGATCGATCGAGCTATAATAATAATGTAATAATAATAATAATAAATAATAATAATAATAATATTGATATACACACCACCACAGGTGCAAAGACATACAACATAAAAAAGAAGAAGATGATATGAGTAGGAGAGTGATAGGGAGATAGAGCAGAGACCAGTGGCCTTCTGGACTCTATCCCTTCGCCAACCGAGGGCTTACGGGCTCCTGGACCGACCACCGGCCTGCTCTGCTCTTATAAAGAGTAATCATGAGGTTGAGATTTCATAAACAACAGATTCAAAGGGTGAATGAAAACCAAAATATTGACGAATAAACTGAGTATTAGAACAGCAGACAATACATCTTGATCAGAATAAAATTTTACATGTTGATAAGCATATATATTGTTGTAGCCTGTGAAGGTATAATAAAGATAACAGGAGTCAGAATACACCGATACAACAAGGGGAGAAGATGAGGAGAGAGCAGATGTGGGAAATGACATGAAATGCTTGAGGAGGATGTTTCTGATGGCAGGAACCTGACCGAGGCAATGACAAACAGCTGTGTGAGAGTTGCGAGGCAACTTCCAGATTCGCCGTAGGTGATGGTTTAGTGCCACTTGAATTATATTTATATCAGGAGTGGAGAGAGACCAGAGAACGCAACCGTACAGGGATAAGCAGAATGATTTTAAAAGAAAACTTTTGACAAATGGATTGACACATTTAAAGGGAGAACGTAGTTGGCTTTGCGATTCAAATCTTTGGTGGCTCTTATGATGTCGTCTTTGTCCCGCAGGTTGAAGGTAAGAATGTGGCCGAGATGAGATACTTTGTCAGTGAATTGCATAATAGCCTCGCGGAGCCACGCCTTCTCCTGTGCGCGGATTGAGAAGGCGTGGCTCCGCGAGGCTAGATAGAAGCTGGATCCGGATCTCGTCCAAGACGCTCGCTGTCAGCTCCAAACCGCCAGCCAAGCCCCTCCCACACCCCTCCCACGCGCAACCTCCCCGCGGTCCCCAAGGCAACCACACCCGAGACCTGCTCCCAGACGGTCACAACTCCATCGCACCCGCGCGGAGGTCCCCTCCTCGCCCCACCCCGGCCAACGCGCCCAGCTCCTCCCGGCCACCGCCCCCCGTCCACCTCACCCAGGACCTCGGCGCACCCACCAAACGTGTCCCGCAACCCACAAAAGAACTCACCACAACCCAGCCACCAAAGATCGCACGGACCATGCCCGCACTCAGACCCCAACAAACCCCCGCCACCTACAATACGCCCCGAAAAAGAGCGCCCGACGGAGACCCACCCCAAAAAGCAGAAAAGAGTCCACACAAATCTCAACCTCACCCCACCCCCCGGAAACACCACTGTCCCCATGGCAGATCCACTCCACAGGCCGACTACGTTCCACCCGCACGAGCACGCCCGTCCTACATCTAACCGGCCATGTCCACTCACCCACGCACCACCTAACCCCCACCGACCGCGAAAACACCGACCTTAACTAAAACAGGCGGAGCCAAGCCCGAATCATCCGGTCTTTCACAAACACCACCCCAGATCGCACCAAGGGAAACCCTACTACGCCCAGTCAGACTCCAAATGAAAGCCGCCCCGACCACCTCGCACCCCGGCAAGCCCACGACCATAACAAACCGAGCACCCCAGCCACAACATACCCACGACCCAGGCCGCAAGACAAGGGCAGACGAAGGAGCGAGACACCGGCTCCGCCCCATACGCCGCAGCCCCGAACTTGCAACAGACCCACCACGCCGAACGCAGCCTCCCGGACCTGAGCCGCCACCACCTATCCGCCACACTAAACCACCTATAACCTCGTACAGCCCCCAACACGAGGGAAACCCCCACAGACAGCACACCGTCGTAGCACCCAGCGAGGCCGCGCCTCACTCCGACATAACACCGCCCAACCACACGGCCGGATCCACACGCACGCCGCCCAAAGGCCCCCCAACTACGCACCGACCATGATGGCCAAGCATTCTCCCCTCGCACAACCCCTACGAACCGCAGAACGACCACCGGTCAGGGCCCGTCGGCAACTCCGACACAAAACCGTCCCCGCTCGGCCGCCTCACCCCCTAAGACGCCCAGACGCCCGCACACGGACCGCGCGACGAACCCCGACCAAAAAAACCCCGCACCCCAGCACCGCACCCACAGTGCCTGGAACCCGACTGCCCACAAGGACCTCCCGCAGTCTCCCCAGCACCCCAACGCCGCAGCACTCCCGCCCACCCCAGTGACATCTGCTACGCCCACCGCCTACGCCGCTTAGACGGAACAATCCCCGGGCACTCCGCACCACACCAGCCTAACCGGCCAAGGGCCACACCCCCACAGATCACCAGGATACGGTCAAACCAAGCCCCGAATACCACCATCACACCGTCTGACGAAGCCCCATCCTCGAAACCCTAGACACCTACCCCTGCCCTACTAGTTGGACCCAAGCCGATACCTGGCATTCCCAGGCCTGACCTCCCCCACACCAGCCCCCACACCGAGACCGCCCTCGGGCACAAAGCACACCGCAGCTCCCCACTCACACGCCCCACACGCTAAAACAGACTCACCCAGTCACAAGTGCCGCCGATTCAGTCAACCCATGACACCACGAGTAGCTCACGCCCACAACCGTCCCACAGTACCCGCTTACCACCCAGCCACCACAAAGGAGACCACCACCCCGTGCCCCCCACCCCCGCTCTATGCAAGCCATCCGCAACTCTCCAAAGGCCCGTGCCCCATAACTGTTACCCCCCTCCGCCAACAGCACTCCGAGGCACCCGCCCCGCACGCCGCCTAACCAAAACAAAACCCAAAATACACGAAAACCCACACCGCCCACACAAAGCAAAAACCCCCCGGCAAGATAAGCTCGCGAGCCTCCAAGTCAACACACCCAGAACACGGCTCAACGACAGGCGCCACCGCCAAAGCGCACCCGTCCAACCGCCAAAATCCTGAAACACGCGGTCACAACTGCACCACAGTCATCCCTCCCAAACAGACACAAAACGCCCCGCGCCTACGTGCACTCAGAAGCAACTCAGCACGACCTCCCGGCCGGCACCCTCCCGACTACCCTAACACCCGCCCACGTCCCATCACCCGCGACCCCGCTAGGGCCGCCGCGCGCCCCCAGCGAGCAACCGAGCCGACACCAACCCACAGCCGAACCAGCACACTTCAACCAAAAAAACAGGCTGAGACAACCATACCCCACCCCGACCAGCCCCACCCCCCGCACTATACAGAGCGGAAACTGCCGCAGGCCCCGAACGCCCCCGGACGGACAGATGATCATGGCAGCCTAGCCAAGCCAGCCGAGCCAAATCGACCCGGGAACCACACCCCCAACGGCTACCCACCCAACCGGGTGACACCCCCCGAGCGCCAGCCAACGAACACCCCACGCCCCACACTTGGCCACACAGTTGCCCCTCGCCCGCCCCAGCCCACCGAAAGGAAAGACCAAAGAGGGTTCTGGCGCGCGAGGCACAATCACGCAATCCTACAAAAATGCGCCGGATCCTGGGTGATCGTCTAGAGGGCGTAATCGGTCTATTTCACACGGACTAGTCTAAGGCTCGACTAGGGCGTCGATCTGAAAAGCAGAAGACATTGAGCGAGTGCTGTGTTATGATGATCATAGATGGTGTGTGTGTGAGCGGCGGCGCTGCCAACAATACGAATTCTTCCGGATTTTCTATTGATTATGCGGTAGTAACGGAACGGAACCGATTTTTACGGAGAGCCGCGAGTAGCGTGAATCATCACTTCTTTGCAGCTTTCTACGGATATTTCACACTGATAATAGCACTACGATGGCGTAAAAACACGGAGAGATAGCTCTACCTCCTACCTAGACCCTCCTAGCAACCTGAGACATAAATCGTTGCTCGTGGCTCGTATATACCGCACCAAGTTCCGCATCTATGCGCGCATGCGCACTAAGATTGACGGATACGTTTGCCGCGATAATATGCGGCGCGATAATATACGTCTTCTGACTGGCAATTAGGCACTTGTTCCAGCGCCTTGCCATTGCCCTGTGGCTGGGAATTGCCTGTCTCCGCATGCGCAGTTGCAAGAATTGCCCTGGTAAGGTGACTCAGTTCCGTATGACAAAGTTCTTAGAATTTTCTAGGTTGTGACAGAACCTTGCGGGGACACTGATTCCCCGTGTAAAGACGCACTGTAGAAACCCCAGGGCCCCGGTAATATTGCGCCCCGATCGCAGCGAGAGCGTGAGGTGCGCGTAGTTACCGCGTCCGCTTCTCGCATGACGCATCGAACTTTGCTACGTATATACCTCACTACAGCTTGTACTCGCTCCACTTGCCAAAATTCGCCTACTAGTATTTTTAACCTCTGTAGTTTTTGTAGTTTTTACCTTTTATTGCTCTTGTAGCTGGGTTTGAGCTTAGCCCAGTTGAATCGCTACACCACCGTCGTGTCACAGTCCTTATCGCACGTTTGACTCACACAGCCCGCAACTCCGCAGCTCTATAATTATTATAAAGGTCAAACTGCGAAGGAAACATCTAGCTATATACTACTTTTACATGCAAGAGATAGATTTTATAACAAGTAGCATGTGAAACACGCCATGAATTTTGTGCGATATATCACCATCATATCGCGAACATCGCGTTGGAACTTGTACACGCGGTGCACAACCGAGTCTTGTAGTCACCCTAATGCATGCGTTTTGGGTGATGGCTCCCCTCTATTCTCACTGCATCAGTCTTTGCTTCGGCTTTGACTTTAGTCACGTCTACTGAGGGTTTTTTTCGTTGATCCATCCGCAAACAGATCATGCAAGCAACCCAGTCCACGAAAATTAAGTATCATACAGTTTCTTTCCTGAAATACATCGTACGTACCTGGATAGATAGTTGGCCAGGCTGTAAAGTGAAGGACTGGAGCTGGAAGCGCGAAACTACTCGTGCCTTTTATAATGTTAGCTACGTAATAATTGTTGCGCAAGACCACCGCGCGCCGACAAATGAATGCGCTATGCTCACAGCCGGGCAAATTGCTGTTAAAGCACATTTGAAGATGCAGGCAGCGTCACAATAGAGTGGATCAGTACCCCTCTGGGACTAAGAAAGACCCCATCACCATATCGCAGGCTACTGGACTGATGGATAACTAAAATGATGATACCTAGCTATCTTCATTCTTGTAGATAAAGATTGTGTTGCTATATTTATGTTACCAGCAAGCACACTGAACATTATTTGCCATTGTTCGTGGCGTGATTAACAACACACTACCCCATGCACTTGAATCAAGAACAGCAAAATCTTAACTGCCAGGGAAGGCGTTTCACTGTGTGAAGAAAATATTAAGTATATATACCATGTTAAATAATCTGGGAGTTTGAGAATAGTGTGGTTGCTTCTTTCTGTGAAGGGAAGAAGTGAAACTCAAGTGCAGTGCAAACAGGGTAACAACCAGGAGGTTGTCCCCCCCAAAGCCAAGACAAGAATGCCTTATAACCTTCAATAACTAAGAAATAGTAGACAACATTTAGCTGACTGTTGGGCTCCAGGATTCTAACAGCCTATGAATGTATGATTAAATACAGTGTATTCATGAGAGGAAACTACTTTGGAATACTAGGAATGCTGCGACTAAAGAACATACATGATTTATGATAAAAGACAAGAATGCTTCTAAGAAATGATGTGCAGTAAAGCTCACTGTTGAATTCCAAGAATCAAGTCAAGTGGACAGTTTAGCTCCAATAATGTACACTGTTGAGTTCCAAGAATCAAAGTAGCCCATGAATGATTGATTCAGTATGGTACTACTGTATTCATAAAACATTCACTAACAGCCAGGACAACACTGCCCTAAATGGGACTAACATACAGCACTCTGCTTGTTGGCAGATGCGCTGGTTTGGACTTGATACCAACAGCAAACGGTGTGTGATACAAAACTCATGATAGCACCATAAAATTGTTCTTGCTAAACACTGAAGTGCAAATCCTCGGCGCACTGTGACGCGCACGCGTAAGTAAACGCATGCGCCGTACCACTAATTGATGGGCTGGGTTTAGTTTTAGCGTGTCACTCGTGGTCTCTTCCCAGCTCGCGCAGAGTCTGACGCGGGCTAACTACACTACTAGATAGCATGCGAGAGGCGATACACGCCCTGCGTTGCATCTTCTGGTGCCTCCGAGGTACGCAGAGCACGCGGGTCGATCATGTCCATTATGTATTTGCATATTGGCTTTTTCGCGCTCCACCTTTGCAACGGAGCGTTTTCAGAGAAAACCGTTCGAAATTTCTGACCTTCATTGCCCGTTCAGTAGGTGGTATCCTTTGTGAGACGAAAGAACATTCGAGAAGTGAGATGAAGAGTAACCAACAGACAGACAGCTAGACAGGAAAATCTTCCCTATGCTCTGGTGGCTCTTTCTCTAACAATTTGTCTTGATTCTAATTCCACTACTGCTCCTCTTCATTTATCCTTTTAATAACTAAGAAATAGTCGACAACATTTAGCTGACTGTTGGGCTCCAGGATTCTATTCCATGGAGAAACAGCCTATGAATCCATGATTAAATACAGCGTATTCATGAGAGGAAACTACTTTGGAATACTAGGAATGCTGTGACTAAAGAACATACATGACTTATGATAAAAGACAAGAATGCCTCTAAGAAATGGTGTGGAGTAAAGCTCACTGTTGAATTCCAAGAATCAAGTCAAGTGGAGAGTTTAGCTCCAATAATGTACACTGTTGAGTTCCAAGAATCAAAGCAGCCCACGAATCATTGATTCAGTATAGTACTACTGTATTCAGCCAGGACAACACTGCCCTAAATGGGACTAACATACAGAACGACTACCGTAACCCTCGCTGCGCATGCGCGCCGAGGGTATGAAAAGCACTATAATTATACAGTCGGCGAACTGCGGTACTGCTAATTGATGGGCTGGGCTATTTCGTGGTGGTCTCCCGCTAGTATAGCTCGCGGAGAGTCTGTCACGGGCTAGCTACTAGTAGTTAGCATGGGGGAGTCGATACACGCCCTTCGTTGTGACCTTCAACATGAATTAGCTGTGTGACCATTCAAAATGTATATATAGGCATGATGCATCACAGGTTAGCACAAAAAAGAGGGATATGGCGATTTTTTTGGAGGGATAGGCATTATTTTTGCTTGATTATCAAGCAAAAAGAGGGATGGTTGGTAGGTATGATACACGTAGTCGGCCATTTTTTATCGCTCTGCGGAAAACGCGCATGCGCATTTTTCAAGCAAAACTACTCAGCAAATATGACACATTTCTCAAGCAAAGATTCATCTGCAGGTTGGTAGGTATGGTATATAAAACGCTGGAAGCACTCTAGCTTTGCAACGGAGCATTTCAGAGAAAACCGTTTGAATTTCTGACCTTCATTGCCTGTTAAGAATGTCAATTAGTCACGCTTAGGAATGTCCATTTCCGCCGTGCGCGCAGATTCGTAGGAAGTCTGGCTTCGCGCGCAGTCAGTAGAGCGCGCCCACGAGCCGCCTCAGTCGGCATTGGCTGGCAGGCGCGAGGCAAATAATATGCGCGTGCGCATTCCTAGTATGCATAATTAAAATTGCTGACGACAAAAACACCCGATGGAAATCATTTTCTTGGGTGAGCTGATTATAGGGTCAATATTCACTCAGTCTTGTCCAACCAGCAGCCTGAAGCCCGTGCCTCAACTTGGCAAGACACCACGTATGAAGTTTCTTCACAACAAAAACCCAGTGAAGTGTGACTCCTGTGATGTACACAAAGGGGATGAGTGTTGCAAGTGTTAGGAGAATAAGATGCATAACGAGGTCAAACACGTGATAGGGACCATATTCAACTGCATTAACAAGGAGAGCTGAGCACCAAAGCAGCAAACTAAGCGACAGCATCATATCTATCTTCAGGTGTAGATGCTTCTTGTACGGCTGAAGAGAAGCTACCAAAACCATGTACAAAGCAATGGTGAATGTGATGAATACGGTCACTTCTTTGTGGTAATTTGATATGTCGAAAAAGAAAATGATGATAAACCTCAAAAAAAAAGTGTAGTCCAGCAAACCAGCGATAGTCTCTGGTACCATTAGTCCCATCCTTATAGCAACCTTGAAATGAATCTGTAAATATGTGCAGGGTGGTGCACTGCTACTGGCGGTTGTTTAGAAAGGTCTGAAATGACCTCAGAGGATAGAGAAAGAAGAGCAGTAGTGGAATCAGAATCGAGACAAAAGTGAGGAATAGAGCTGTCAGAGCATAGGGGAGATGCTCCCGTCCAAAGTAAGTTACGGTGGGGTCAATATACACAAAGATGCTGTAATTTCCTTTGAGAGAAGAGACATACACTGGCTGAAGAATGATGAATGATGTGCAGCCAATTTTGTTAATAGCTAGGATTATGAATGTTGCAAAGGCGTCAACCAGTGAGGTTTGAATGTCCACTCTCTGCCTTAGTCGAGCAAGACAGGATACTACTGGTCTGCACAAACAGAACACGATCCTGTGACCTTCGTTGTAGAGCTTTATACCAAAGTACACCACAAGTAGCACAACAAGTGGAAAGAGAGCAATCACATATTCCAAGAATTTTGCTTGTAAGGTAGACATGTGAGGACTTAGGCACATGTCAAAATACATAGAACGAAAAATGTCCCAAGTTTCCCAAACCAAAAAAGGTAGCAAATGCTTTCCAACAGCCGTCATGCACACTTCTTGATACGAGATGGGACTGGCTTGAAAAGGTGGTTGCTTCTTTCGGCATCATTTGAATAAACATAATTATACTGAGGAGATGCCATGACTTTACTGACAAGAATGAAGGTGCTCATGGGAGGTCTGGCCACACTGATCCTCAGAGTGATGATTGTCAGGCAGAAAACTGTCAGAGGCAGAAATGATGCCAGAAACCACACAATAGAGTCTCTCACCACCTCCGGAGTGAATACACTGCATGCTGTAAGAGTAAACAGGAGGTCCATGACCATCTATACATTGAGAGCACAGACGTCCAGTTCTCTTCCATGGCCTACCGCACAAACTGTAATCTAGATCAGTATTGTTGAAGTCCTGCTGTGTAATGAGACAAGTGTACGGACAAGCCCCAACTGTAACCACTCCATTTCTATTCACAGTCATGCAGAAGCACCGTAGGACACCCACATGGTCATTGTAACACGTTATGATTCCTCCAAGGTGACTCTTACACTTGCACTCTCCGTCGTACCTGAGGAACTGAGGGATGGGGCAGGTACTGTTGCTCCCAGCTGATTCCAGTCTTTGCTGGTTGGTCAATGACAATATGGCTAATGCAAGCAGTATTGTCACGATGGAACCCATTTTCACGGAGAACTGCATCTATGTAAGTCTCTTCAAGCCAAAGACTTAACATTTCTGTTTTTGTAACTGTGTATAGTAGGGGAAATGTAACCATAAACTGGTAAATATTTTCACATTTTTTGTCCAAAACTTTCACTTACAAGTTATCAGTCTTCACTTGTATGATTAATGCCCCCTCTATACATATCCAAAACCGTCTTTACTGTTTCATCTTGTATCTATCCTTAGAAGTTGTTATCCTCAATGCTAACTTTGACACTCTACCGAGGATGCACATTGGATATAATCAACCAGATCAAGATACTTGCTTCATTGTAACCAAGATGAGTGCAAAATTAAAGGGATGCCTCGAACACCGAACCCTCGGCGAACTGCGCATGAGGGACACTGCCACTATTGATGGGCTGGGCTCGCGTTTACTCGTGGTATCAGAGCGTCGGTAGACGCTCTATGTACGTAGGGATGGCGCGAGTGAAATCTCACGTGATCCGCGTACAAAACGCCTCGAAACTCGGCGAGGATGGCTAGCTATGCCTTCAAAAACACACCAAAATCACTCACGGGTCCATATCTACCTATACATATGCCCAAAAGTTCCATACGTCCCTGCAATTCTCGACACGAGAAACCGCTAATACGCGATTTCACAATTTTCGTGTCATCATATTCTTCTTCTTCTTCTTCTTTAGACCCGATTTCTCCTTACCGGAACAAGTTCAAGCGCTGATTTTCCCATTAAACGTACCCCGCTATGGTGGAGGTGTGCATCGTCGTCAAGCGATGTTCGTTTTCTTGCTGCCAATCGGTACGGAAGATCTAGCGTACAATATTACTCACAGAAAACGACGCCATTTTCACGGTCGATTCAGACCCCACCCACTCCCGGCGCCTTGCGCGCGACGCGGGATAAAAGACCGCGTGGTTGCCGCTCCGCTCGCTCTCGTCCGTTGAGCTCCGTCTGGCCGAGTTTTGTCTCCACGTTTCGCCCGTTTCTGCCGAGTCTGGTTACGATCAGTTTTTTTCTCTGTCCTTGTTCCACACGTCGACACTTGGTGTCAGTCTCTTTCGCTCTGCTAATTGAGCTTCGTGTACCGCGCTGATGTTCACAAGTAAGTGTTGGTATTACAAAACATATTGCGTATAATCGTAACTTTCTACCTCTGAGGTTCATGCGTTACATCGGCACCCCGTCCGGTGTTTTTGTACTGGCCCCTGCTACTACTACCTTCGACTGGAGTTGGGGCCACAGCTACTCATTTCGTTTTCAATGTAAGCTCTGCAAACTGTCTCCATATGGTTGTATTCAGTCTCTCATTTGCCCTATTTGCCATTAGCTCTTTATTTGGAGGTGCTACACGACACTTCTTCGTGCCTGGGTGTATACCCACTGGCCCTGAGGCACTCTCCTGGAGTTCGTGGCACACCTGCTCCACACCCCTGTCAGCAGTATGAGCAGTGGCAGCGGTACTCTCCTCATGATGTCGACAGACATTTGACGGATGACATTTACCAGAGGTCTATGTATCTATTGCACACAGGAAACTACTTCAATGTTGTTGGTTCTATAAGGAAGAATTAATGTTACCACATGTGCCTATATATGCACTCTCTGAGCATATTGGGGAAGGAGAGGGTGGGTCCAGGGGCGTAGCCAGGATTGAATCTTAGGGGAGGCAAATGCATTATTCATGTTTAATTGTGCGCATGCGCAATGTCAGTGTTTGATCGCGGAAGGCCAGAGCAAAACGGCGATGCCCAAAGCAGCCCCAGTCTTCCCAGTTTTGTACGATACACTCTGGGGGAGATGTCTGCTCTTGGTTGGTGTAACCCAGCATTCTCTCGCTGCTGGCGCTGGTCGTTGGTTACGCTGTGAAAAGTTGTACGTAATAAATTATTCATAAGTCAGCAAAAACAGAGGAGGCAACTGCCTCCTCTGTCTCAATGCTAGCTACGCCCCTGGGGTCCCTGCAATTTAGTTGAGGTGGCTTCCCCATTTCATGCTATAACCACTGTAGAAAGTGTGATTTACATGTCCTGTACATGACTTCTGAACATGTTGGGGAAGAAGAGGGTGGGTCCCTGCAATTATATGAGGTGGCTTCCCCATTTCATGTTCTAACCACTCTCCTAAAGTCTCAGACTTCATGGAGCTGACTGGTTTCAAAGTGTAGGAAAACTGCACTGTCTTTACCACAAAGTTTTAGGGGACTGTAACTGCATCACAAAGTTGAGGTAGCACACTGTTAGAGGTGAATGTCTGTGTTCTCTGTACACTGACAGATTGTGTTGTATGCCAACAGTAGTGAGTAATCCCTCAGGAGACTGGTCTTAGCTCTGACACTAATATGATCCTCCTCCCTTGAGGAGTGCACTCTGCAGTCAGTAGCTATGCCTGTTGGGACACTACTACTTGAAGCTACACACTACTCACCTAAACATCAGTGCACCTACTATTGTATGCAGTATATCAGCACCCTTCCTACATGCACCTTCCCATAGTATTCTGAACAAGGTGGTTACTATAGGCTCCTCTTCTCTGACAAATATTATCTGTTCCCCCCCTGGGAAGCTCTCTACCACTGCAGGTCAGTCATCTTCAACCATAGCCAACAATCTGGGAGACAGTGACCTGTTCAAGGGTAGTATCTGGGAGTCAGCCTAGCAGGTGGGGCTCTGAAGTGTTTTCCCTGGCCCTTATCACTGTTGCTGACTTTGGTGCACCTTATCACCTTTGTTGACATAGCATTTGTTAGGCTATTGTAAGCCTATATACTCCTAGCCTTGTCTAGTCCTCTGTACTATTATTTGCTTTGCATTCCTCACTCTGATAGGTGTTTGACGGTTGTCAAGACCTGGACCCTACAAGCTTCTACTACACACTCATTTTGCTCTTTGCCCTCCACCTTTGACTTCAGCTGGATAGATCTCTTCACAAGAATGAAATCTCCTGCACATGCATTGCATATACCCTTTCACCAATATTATTATTGCTGCAAAATGACATTTCTTACTAGCGCATGCGCCCGCTACGTGCAGGGCGCCAGAATTGTGAATTACGTCACCTACCTCGCACTGATATATATATATGCGCTGCGCGCGCGCAGCAGCCCCTCCCCCTCGCTCTGCACCGCGAAAAGGGTGGGGCTCAGCTTATGCTAAAATTAAGTGGAACAAGTGGAAAAATCATTTCTTCAAAATGAAGGGGGATGTAGGGATGGCGCAAATTATGAAAAAGAATACCAACAAGAAGATGCTTCAGCCGAAAACAAAAATCCTACATCTTTCTTTAACTCACAACCTCGACTGTGATTTGTTATGAATTAGCTTACACACTTAATATATTATACCCACACATTTTTATACAGATAACAAAGAAAGATGTAGGGATGGATGTATGATTTTTGTTTTCGGCTGAAGCATCTTCTTGTTGGTATTCTTTTTCATAATTTGCGCCATCCCTACATCCCCCTTCATTTTGAAGAAATGATTTTTCCACTTGTCCCGCTAGTAGCTCGCGGAGAGTCTGACACGGGCTAGCTACGGTAGTAAATAGCATGCGGGATTCGATACATGCCATTCGTTGTGACTTCCTGAGCCCGAGTGGATCCGACCGCGGTAAGCACAGTGCGATTTTGGCTTTTTCGCTTGTTTTCAGGGTATATCTCTCGAAAGCAGTCGTTTCATGAAAATCGCCCTTTTATTTTTCGGGCTCGCGCTGGTATCGCTAATAGGCCGCTTCTTTGCCGTCGACACCCAGACTAGACAGACAAAAAAACCTCGCTACGCATGCGCGCCGAGGGTTATAATAAGCTGTGACCAAAACTCATAATCACGACCAAACACTTCAGAAATTCATACCTCTTTTTTGAACAAGCACACAGTATGATCATTACTCAGAAAGAGTACATTATTAGTATGGTGTAATAATAAGTTTGTGATGCTGTGCACGCATAATGATTGCATAAGAACTTTCGTTGCAGATTAACAGTTACAGCTGCTTTTGACAAAAAAGGTATTGATAATTCTGAGGGTGATCTGAATATGGGGTCAATATTCACTCAGTCTTGTCCAACCAGCAGCCTGGAGCCCGTGCCTCAACTTGGCAAGACACCACATATGAAGTTTCTTCACAACAAAAACCCAGTGAAGTGTGACTCCTGTGATGTACACAAAGGGGATGAGTGTTGCAAGTGTTAGGAGAATAAGATGCATAACGAGGTCAAACACGTGATAGGGACCATATTCAACTGCATTAACAAGGAGAGCTGAGCACCAAAGCAGCAAACTAAGCAACAGCATCATATCTATCTTCAGGTGTAGATGCTTCTTGTACGGCTGAAGAGAAGCTACCAAAACCATGTACAAAGCAATGGTGAATGTGATGAATACGGTCACTTCTTTGTGGTAATTTGATATGTCGAAAAAGAAAATGATGATAAACCTCAAAAAAAGGTGTAGTCCAGCAAACCAGCGATAGTCTCTGGTACCATTAGTCCCATCCTTATAGCAACCTTGAAATGAATCTGCAAATATGTGCAGGGTGGTGCACTGCCACTGGCGGTTGTTTAGAAAGGTCTGAAATGACCTCAGAGGATAGAGAAAGAGGAGCAGTAGTGGAATCAGAATCAAGACAAAAGTGAGGAATAGAGCTGTCAGAGCATAGGGGAGATGCTCCCGTCCAAAGTAAGTTACGGTGGGGTCAATATACACAAAGATGCTGTAATTTCCTTTGAGAGAAGAGACATACACTGGCTGAAGAATGATGAATGATGTGCAGCCAATTTTGTTAATAGCTAGGATTATGAATGTTGCAAAGGCGTCAACAAGTGAGGTTTGAATGTCCACTCTCTGCCTTAGTCGAGCAAGACAGGATACTACTGATCTGCACAAACAGAACACGATCCTGTGACCTTTGTTGTAGAGCTTTATACCAAAGTAAACCACAAGTAGCACACAAGTGGAAAGGGGCGAGGATACTGTGGGGGAAACAGCGGGAAACCCCTAGGGAGTGGGGGTAGGAGTAGGGTATTGGGGATAGGGGGTTATGAAGCTGGTGGAAGGGGTGGCCGTGGTGGGGAGCCACTTGGGGGGATAGGTGGGGTATTGAAGTAGCAAGCGTGGGCGTGTGGAGGGAATGAAGTGGGCGGGAAAAGGTGAGGGCGAGTCGGGGAGGAAGAGGGGAAAGAGGGAGGGCCGGGTCGAGGGGGAGGGAGGGCAGTGGTGGGAACCGCGAAGGAGAATGGTGGGTTGAGAGGGAGAACATGCTGTGGACGGTTAGCAGTTTACGGAGTGTGGAGGGGCTTGGGGGTGGGATTGGGGTAGGGGGACGAGGAAATGGGGTTTGGAGAATGGCGTAAGCTGACCTAATGAGAGAAGGATGGGGTAGGAGTCATTGAGTTGTAGAGGTCGTGGGAGAAGTAGCGTAGCGGGTGAGCAGGATGGAGGGGGAGACTGGGGTGTGCGCGGGGTGCGTGAGTGGTGAGGTGGGAGGAGGAAGAAGGAAGGTAGCAGGTGGGGGGGGGCGAGAGGACGGGAAGCTGGGAAACGGATGCGGACGAAGGATGGAGAGGGGTAGTATAGGGGGGGTTCTGGGGGAAGAGTGGATATGAGAGGCCCAATATGGTAGTGTCTGGTAAGGCCATGGAGGAGGATCGAAAGGTTAGGGTGAAAAACGAACTGGCGTGGAAGGTAGGAACAATTTGGATATGGAGGGAGATGGAGGAAGGCTGGGAAGATTTGTAAGTGCAATAGACATAGTAAGGAAGCAGTGTGAATGTGAGAGAAGCGGCGAGATGTTATCGAGCTGTTCAGGAGACATTGGCTCGATGTTTGAATGCATCTAAGTAAGGGTGGGGAGAAATTGTGAAGGGGAGAGGGTAAGTGCCGATAAGCGCGAGGGTATGAAGACAAAGTGTTGAAGGATACAGACGTCTCTCCCTTCCCCTCGCCAGCATGTCTTGTAAGGTAGACATGTGAGGACTGAGGCACATGTCAGGATACACAGACCGCAAAATGTCCAAGTTCCCAAAACCAAAAAAGGTAGAGGCCAAATGCTTTCCAACAGCCGTCATGCACACTTCTTGATATGAGATGGGACTGGGTGGTGTTGCTTCTTTCGGCAACTATATTGAATCACATATACTGAGGAGATGCCATGACTTGACTGACAAGAATGAAGGTGCTCACTGGGAGGTCTGTGGCACACTGATCTTCAGGAGTGATGATTGTCAGACAGAAACACTGCCAGAAGCAAAATGATACCAGAAACCCACACAATAGAGTCTCTCACCACTCCGGAGAACATGGAATACACTGCATACTGTAAGAGTAAACAGGAGGTCCATGACCATCATACATTGAGCACACAGACGTCCCAGTTCTCTTCCATAGCCTACCGCACAAACTGTAATCTAGATCAGTATTGTTGAGTCCTGCTGTGTAATGAGACAAGTGTACGGACAAAGCCCCAACTGTAACCACTCCATTCCATTCACAGTCATGCAGAAGCACCGTAGGACACCCACATGGTCATTGTAACACGTTATGATTCCTCCAAGGTGACTCTTACACTTGCACTCTCCGTCGTACCTGAGAACTGGAGGGATGGGGCAGGTACAGTTGCTCCCAGCTGATTCCAGTCTTTGCTGGTTGGTCAATGACAATATGGCTAATGCAAGCAGTATTGTCACGATGGAACCCATTTTCACAGAGAACTGCATCTATGTAAGTCTCTTCTAGCCAAAGACTTAACATTTCTGTTTTTGTAACTGTGTATAGTAGGGGAAATGTAACCATAAACTGGTATATAAATATTTTCACATTTTTTGTCCAAAACTTTCACTTACAAGTTATCAGTCTTCACTTGTATGATTAATGCCCCCTCTATACATAGACCAAAACCGTCCGTATGTCCTTTACTGTTTCATCTTGTATCTATCCTTAGAAGTTATTATCCTCAATGCTAACTTTGACACTCTACCGAGGATGCACATTGGATATATATAATCAACCTGATCAAGATACTTGCTTCATTGTAGCCAAGATGAGTGCAAAATTAAAGGGATGCCTCAAATACCGAATGCACTGAAGTGTAAACCCTCGGCGAACTGCGCATGCGGGACACTGGCTAATTGATGGCTGGGCTATTTGTATGGTGGTCTCCCGCTAGTAGCTCGCGGAGAGTCTGACACGGGCTAGCTACGGTAGTAAATAGCATGCGGGATTCGATACATGCCATTCGTTGTGACTTCCTGAGCCCCCAAGGTACACAGAGCGAGCGTCCGACCACAGTGTGATTTTGGCTTTTTCGCTTGTTTTCAGGGCATATCTCTCGAACGCAGTCGTTTCATGAAAATCGCCCTTTTATTTTTCAGGCTCGCGCTGGTAGGCCGCCTCTTTGCCAGAATAAGCGCCGACACACAGAGACAGACAAAAAAAAACTCGCTACGCATGCGCGCCGAGGCTTGTAAGGCTGTGACCAAAACTCATAATCACGACCAAACACTTCACAGATTCGTCTTATTAATACCTCTTTTTTGAACAAGCACACAGTATGATCATTACTCAGAAAGAGTACATTATTAGTATGGTGTAATAATAAGTTTGTGATGCTGGTCCATGCATAATGATTGCACAAGAACTTTCGTTGCAGATTAACAGTTATAGCTGCTTTTGACAAAAAATTCTGAGGGTGATCTGAATAGAGGGTCAATATTCACTCAGTCTTGTCCAACCAGCAGCCTGAAGCCCGTGCCTCAACTTGGCAAGACACCACGTATGAAGTTTCTTCACAACAAGAACCCAGTGAAGTGTGACTCCTATGATGTACACAAGGGGGATGAGTGTTGCAAGTGTTAGGAGAATAAGATGCATAACGAGGTCAAACACGTGATAGGGACCATACTCAAGTGCATTAACAAGGAGAGCTGAGCACCAAAGCAGCAAACTAAGCAGCAGCATCATATCTATCTTCAGGTGTAGATGCTTCTTGTATGGCTGAAGAGAAGCTACCAAAACCATGTACAAAGCAATGGTGAATGTGATGAATACGGTCGCTTCTTTGTGGTAATTTGACATGTCGAAAAAGAAAATGATGATAAACCTCAAAAGAAGGTGTAGTCCAGCAAACCAGCGATAGTCTCTAGTAGCTACCATTAGTCCCATCCTTATAGCAGCCTTGAAATGAGTCTGCAAATATGTGCAGGGTGGTGCACTGCCACTGGCGGTTGTTCAGAAAGGATACTACTGGTCTGCACAAACAGAACACGATCCTGTGACCTTTGTTGTAGAGCTTTATACCAAAGTACACCACAAGTAGCACAACTAGTGGAAAGAGAGCAATCACATACTCCAAGAATTTTGCTTGTAAAGTAGACATGTGAGGACTGAGGCACATGTCAGGATACACAGAACGGAAAATGTCCAAGTTTCCCAAACCAAAAAAGGTAGCAAATGCTTTCCAACAGCCGTCATGCACACTTCTTGATACGAGATGGGACTGGCTTGAAAAGGTGGTTGCTTCTTTCGGCACCATTTGAATAAACATATACTGAGGAGATGCCATGACTTGACTGACAAGAATGAAGGTGCTCATGGGAGGTCTGGCCACACTTATCCTCAGGGTGATGATTGTCAGACAGAAAACTGTCAGAGGCAGAAATGATGCCAGAAACCACACAATAGAGTCTCTCACCACCTCCGGAGAACATGGAATACACTGCATACTGTAAGAGTAAACAGGAGGTCCATGACCATCTATACATTGAGCACACAGACGTCCAGTTCTCTTCCATGGCCTTCCGCACAAACTGTAATCTAGCTCAGTATTGTTGAAGTCCTGCTGTGTAATAAGACAAGTGTACGGACAAGCCCCAACTGTAACCACTCCATTTCCATTCACAGTCATGCAGAAGCACCGTAGGACACCCACATGGTCATTGTAACACGTTATGATTCCTCCAAGGTGACTCTTACACTTGCACTCTCCGTCGTACCTGAGGAACTGAGGGATGGGGCAGGTACTGTTGCTCCCAGCTGATTCCAGTCTTTGCTGGTCAGTGAATGATACGACCAACACAAGCAGTATGATGACGATGAAACCCATTCTCAGGGAGAACTGCATCTAAGTCTCTCCAAGCCAAAGACTTTTAATACTTCAGTTTCTCTGTAACTGTTTTATGTCAGGGAAATGTAACTAGCTACCCTGATAGTAAGCTAGTAAATATTTTCACATTTATTTTGTCCAAAAACTTTCACTTACACACACACAAAAGTTATCTTTCGGACACTCTCTATACATAAGCAAAGACTGCATGTTCATTTCTGGTTTATCTTATTCTCTAGAAGTTATTGGCAAGCGGGAGCGAGCCAACCTAATGGCGCGATTTACGTCTGTACGTGAAAGATGAAAAAACGATGAACGCCCTTATAGCATAGTCGCTAAAAGCAATAATACGAGAAAATGC